AGATAGATAGATAGATAGATAGATAGATAGATAGATAGATAGATAGAGGGATGGATAGAGGGATGGATGGATAGAGGGATAGAGGGATATTTGAGAACAATGTTAAAAGGGAGAAAAGTGCTTTATTATTTAGGACATTTTACGTGTGATTTTTTAATCAACCCAAAAAGATGGAATATAATTTAAAAAATTGGCCAAATGAAATATATATTTTTTTAAATCTGTTATTTGACCAGTTTGTGTTAAACTATATACTCCTGAGACTTTTTCCATCCGTTTAAAATAATTTAGGCTTTCCTCAGTTTTTATATTCATGTGCCTCTGGATTTTCCTGTTGTTGCTCGAAAATATTATTTAACGTTTTCTATGTTTGAAAATGTTGCTGGTTATGTCTAGTGCTTGGATTTATGAATTACTAATGTCAAACACAAACTCCTTTAAAATGTTCAAACTTGTACTTTTATACAGATCGTCACAGAACAGACAATTTAGCAACATTTAGCATTTTACCAGCTGCCTGTCACATGGACACATTTTGTTCCCATTTGTTTGATTGAAATGTGAAAAATATTAAAAGTGGCACACCTTGACAGATAGAAAATAGGATTTTAACAACAGTATGATTCCCAAAGAGCTACTAGCTGAAAACTCAGCTGAAGGACGGCCCTATTCAGGTCTTTTAAGGATTTTTTTATATTTCAGATACCGTACTTGCCACTGTACACTTTGAACCGCCGAATAAGTCGCATCAGTCCAAATATGTCTGATAAAGTGCAAAAAACCATAAATATATTGTTTTGCCGTATAGTCGCATCTATTATTCATCACCACTGATGCGTCACGTTAGTTATGTGTCACCGCTGACCACCCAGAAACGTGGGCCTGTGTTGTGCCAAAAATCGACTGGCTGCCAAGTGGTGGCCACAGGAGTGTGCACGGAAGGACTTTAACAAGAATTTAACAAGATTAACACTTAAAAACAATTATTTGTTTGCCTGAAATTATAGTAAAGTTGTGTCTCAGTTGAACTTTTCCTTAATAAATGCACTTTAATGGTCAAATCAGCTGCATTTCACCTGGGTGGCGTGGTGAAATGCAGCTGATTTGATGTTTGCTCCAGGAGTTTTGGAGCGAGACGAAGGTGGCTTTGTATGGCAAGCCAAGTGTCTCATTAATAGACATTTTTACCTATTAATGAGACATTTGGCTTGCCATATTGGTCGAGGGCCCTCTAGTGGCTGAAAATGGTAGTGTTCAATATTTTCCATGTCAGGATGATTTAAATCGTCAGATCTCAGCCAAAAATTGTCATTGTCAATTTATTTATATAGCACATAAAAACAACAAAAGCTGACCAAAGTGCTTTACAGCTAAAACATAAAAAGAGTAAAACATGCATCTAGTGCCACTCAAAAACTAAATCTGGACAGAATATGATCGAAAAAGCAGCAAAAGTTCAAAGATAAACTTTAAAGACCCACAAAAAGACTGAAAAGCCGATGATTAAAACCACTTTAAAAAGTTTTTTTTTTTGTTTTTTTTTTTTTTTAGAAGATCTGTCTCCTTGAAAGCAAAAGGTAAAAAACTAGAAGTGGTTTAAAACCTTTTTATCACATTTTGACTAAAACATCTTATCCTAGTTAAATAATGTTTTTATAGATTACTTTAATTTTCTTACAGTTTTGCTGAAAAATCTCCCAGTTGAGGCCAAAACATTTCCGTTATAATAAAAAGGCTTTGCTTTACAAGCAACTTTGTTAAAGTAGGACACTGTCGTCAGTCTTCTCTCATGTGAGGATTTGTTCTTGGTTATTCAGAAAAAGCTTGGAAAAATCAAATGAGGCTGCAGGAAAATGAATAAGACATTTTTTTCTGATTTTGACATATAGGTAAACAAACAATCTAAACAAAGTACCCAGCTGAGGGTTTGTGTTGTTTGTGTTTGCAGCGTTTTGTCGAAGGAGTACCAGGACGCTCTGCAGAGGATCTCTGCGGTCGTCCAGCAGCATCAGAAGACTCTGGTTCCCGGCATGCCGCAGCTCAACATGTGTGACCTGGCAGTGATGGTGAGGCTTGTGCCCCTCAGACAAACACACCTGTAGCACCATTCAGAATATTAAATGGGCAGATGAGCTTCAGAGGACTGGAGAAATAGTTATACAATAACTGCAGTTTCTCTTTGGGGTTTTTAGTGTTAAAAAATGACTTTTCTCTTTTCTGTTTGTTTAATCACAAACATTCATATGACGTATGTGACTTATTCCATCATGTTTTATGGATTCATCAGCACATACTGATCCTATTACTGATACTTTATTATATTAGATACTGATATTACTGATGCATACTGATTAAAGTCCCTCATGTCTGCTTCTGGCAGCAAAGGACGCCTCAGTTTTTATTCATTTGTGTTGAAACACTGCCCCCATGTGGTCGAGAAGGGAAATCGTTTTATGTTGGGTTAAAATAATCATTTTTCAAACATAAATTACCCTGTAGACCAGATACAGTACATCTATTAGACAAATAAAAAATACAGTTGTGATTTTTCCTATAATCGTTTGTGCATTTGTAATAGATTTATGCAAAGAAGTATATATTTTCATTAAAAATACCAAAAGAAATGTGAATTTCTTTGGCAATTTTCTTACTAAAACCCTACAATTAAAACTGTTGTGGAGTCAATGCGCTGATTTTAGACATTCATAGTTTTTATAATTAAATAAATAATGATAATGGAACTATTTCAAACTTGTTCTTGTTTTTAGGTTTTTGTTTTCTGCTCTTTTTTTTTAAATCTGTTTTATGATTGTTGTATGGTTATTTTATGGAACTGATGTTCTGTGTGTATTATCTGTCTAAATACAAATAAACAAGCTCAATATATTAAACGGTAAGGAGGGTGATGTTATATATTAACATGAAACAGAATTTACTCCCACAGGATCAAGATTAATGCCATTTCTTTATGCATCTTTCTAAATCAAAATAAGATTAATTTTTTTAATGTTTTTTTTTATTATTATTAATTCTGGTCTCTTTCACAGAACTGGGCTCCTGCCGGTTGTGAGAAGTTAGGGAAGTGTTTGAATCCACCCGAGTCCAAACCCTGGAAGTGCTTCTGGCCCCACTGAGAACGAACGCAGACGGCCCAACGGTGAACCCAAGGAACAACAATCTTTTTAAATCAAAGCAATTAAAAGATGATTATATGCAGTATTAAAGACAAGAACGTGGGATTTAGATTGAGTAAATCTGTTTTTCTGCTGTACATAAAACATGAAACACTTTGTAAAAGGAAATGTATTTATTTGTTTTGCTTGAAAAACTAATTTAAGGTCATAGATTTGGTTCATTCTGTGGCGTTAAGTGTTTCACATGAGGACGTTGTTAGTGATGACGATTGACTGTAGCTGGAAGCTTCTTTGTGCCAACATAAAAATGCTTGTTTGTATTCTTTTTTCAAAATAAAATATCCTGGTTGTGTCAAAATAATTATCAAAAGTTATTATCTATTTTTTTTATTATTGTTTTTATTGTTTCTGTGCTGCCTGGAACCAAATGATCCACGGACTGATACTGGTCCTTGACCCGAGAGTTATGGACCAATGTCTGGATAATCTGATTATTTAAAGGTTTGAAAAACATCTTAATTGATGAAAAACTTTCAATAAGTAAATAAACCAGAAGCTGATACTCAAATGCAGCTTGTTCAGATACATTCAGCTAAATATCAGATGGGTCGGTTTATTTTTAAATCTCTTAATGTGAATCTTCTCAGATATTAAATACATTTTAAACACTTTTTATTTAAAATGTAAGTTGTGGAATCTTTTAGCTCACATAATGTTAAAATCTGTTAAATCTCTTCTTTTTTTTTTTTTTAAGAAAAAAATCAAAGTTACTTCTGGAGCTCCTTTTGTGTTTTTTTTTCTGCATAATCTTTATTTTTTCATTCAACCTTTATTTATGCAGGTTAATCCCACTGAGCCTCAGAGACTCATTTACAAGAGAGACCTGATTTTAACAAAGAGTGATGACAACAGTCTAAGACAACAATAAACAATCATAAAGGCTGTGTACAAATTGAGAATAACAAGTGAAAATAATAATAATAATTTTAAAGTAACAAAAAAAGCTTGGTTGTAAGGCGGTGTAGAAAACTAAAAACAGGAACATTGTTGTTTTTTCCAGGATGTTTGAAGCCATTTAGAGAGGTCAAGATCAAGAGCTTCAGGTCTTTTTGCAAGATATTCCAGGAAACAGGAGCGGAGTAGGAGAAGGTCCTTTTTGCCTAGTTCAGTCTGCACTGAGGGAACACTGCAGGTAATAATGTCCTGAGAGCGCACGCTGTAGCTGCACTCACGCAGAGACATGTAGGAGGAGATGTATGAAGGCAGCAGACCAAGAAGTGATTTAAAGATGAAAATGTACCAGTGAGAGAGTCTGCGTGAAGTTAATGATGACCAGTTAACCAGTGAATACTGGGTGCAGTGGTGGGTACGGTAGTTGCAGCCAGTTATGAATCTTAGTGCACCATGATGGACGGTATCCAACATCTGCAGGGTTCTTGCAGGAGCGTTCATGTAAATAATGTCACCGTAATCAATGGAGGGAAGGAAAGTCACAGTTACAAGGTGTTCCCTAGCATTCAGAGTTAAACAGGATCTATTTCTATAAAAGAAACCCAGTTTAACTTTCAGTTTCCTTACTAGGTTTTCCACGTGGACCTTAAAAGAGAGATGCAGTCGGCCAAGATACCCAAATATTTGTAGGAATCGACAAGCTCAATATGGGCACCATTAGAGGATAAAATCGAAGGAAGAAACGCTGGGACCAACTTCCTGTTTGAAAACAGCATCCCTTTGGTTTTGTCGGCGTTTAGGACAAGGCTGAGAACAAATCAGACTGGATGATGTCAAATGTGGATTGCAAAAGCTGGAAAACCTTAGCAACCGTTTTAACTCGACGATAAACAACTGTGTCATCAGCATAGAAATGTAAGGATGCATCAGGAATTCTCTGACCTACATTACCTATGTAGATTGTAAAGAGGGTGGGTCCTAAGACTGAGCCTTGTGGTACACCATTGTTGACTGTTAAATAACTGGAGGAAGTACCATTATGTTGAACACATTGCCTCTGATCTGAAAGATAGTGAGAGAACCAACCAATGGTGTCAGCTGAAAAACCAATTTCTGAGAGCTTATGACATAAGATGCTATTATTAAATTTAACACAAAAAAAGCATCAAATTGCAATGAACTTACAAGAAAGTTAATAGTTTTTGCTTCTGAGCTGTTCATTCCTTTGTGTACTTAGCGCACTGATAAAATGTGAAGCAAAAAAACACACAAAATAAGATTTTTTTTATCACCAAGTCATTTCCTTTACAGCTCAGAGGAAGTTGCATGTTTCAGGAAACACAAGAAATGAGCTTTTCTTTCCGTCAATGAAAAAACAGCGTCATGTCGGAGGACACCAACAAAACAACACAGGCCCTGGACACTGGTTTTCTCCGATCCAGGAGGGGACTTGTGAAAGGAGCAGAGATGGTGAGGCGCATTCATGTTTCATCTCGGGTTTGAACGTTTGACATGCAGAGCTGAAACAGTTAGGATGAGCTGTCACACCAGAAAGAGGAAGAGAAACAGGATGGCAGCTCTACAAGTTGACTTCAGCAAGTCATCAGCATGAAGATCATGTTAGACAGATGTTTGCCCACAGAGAAGTGAAAACTCACTTTTTCTGCATAACCTGAAACATGCATGGTGGCAGTGAGTGAAACTCGCCGTCATGACTTCAGCACAGCCATTTTTATTCTCGTGCGTGTTCATTTCTATTTTAGGTGACTCTATTTGTTGCATTCGTGTGTTTTGCTGTGGTGTCGGCTCCAAAGTACATCACAGCCACCGTGTTGGAGCTTCTGTTGACGTCCCTCCTGCTGCTGCTGTACCTCCTGAAGCTCAACAAGAGACTCACCTTCTTCTTTTGGCCCCTCGTTGTGAGTAAAGATCATATCCTGGACGTTTTGTCGCTGCCTGAGGACGATTACAGTTCTTTAAGGTTTGTGCTACTTGTTGATTTTTCTCTTTAGGATGTTTTCAACTCGGTCTTTGCAGCCGTTTACCTGACTGTGCTGAGCCTGGTGGCTCTGACGTCATACAGCTTCACAGGCATGCTGGCTGGAGGGGTGAGGACTTTTAGTTTTACTTCTTATTTCCGCTTTTATTTTCTCAAATGAGTTAAAGTTTTAGGTGCCATTTCTTTTTCGTAAAACATTTTTTAGTTCAAAACCATTTAAAGTGGCACAGGTTATGAACAATTAGTATCTTACCTGTTGTATGGGGCACCGTTTGTAAAGTTACACGGTCCAAAATAAACAGCAATACTTTGGTTTATTTAGTCTTTCATAAGAAAAAAAAAGTTTTTTTTTTTTCAAAGTCATACTTTCACCATGTTCATACATTTATAAATGTCATAGTCCCAAATTAAATATTTAATTTACAAGCCAAATATTTATTTTTAAAAGTAAACATTTAATTTCTAAATTAAACATTTAATTCCTCAACTAAATATTTAATTTTCTAACTAAATACTTAGCTCGGACCTGAATATTTAACTTGCAAGTTAAATATTTAGACCCGAGCTAAATATTTAGTTAGCAAATTAAATATTTATTTTGGAAATTAAGTGTTTAGCTTAAAAAATGAATATTTAGGTCCAAGCTAAACAGTTAGTCAGCAAATTAAATATTTAGTCGAGGAATTAAATGTTTAGCTTAGAAATTAAATGTTAAGTTTTAAATATAAATATTTAGCTTGAAAATTAAATATTTAATTTACAACTAAATGTTTAGTTCACAAACTAAATATTTAACTTGCAAGTTAAGTATTTAGTTTGTAAACTAAATATTTAGCTTGTAAATTAAATATTTAGTTTGGTGAAAATCAGACTTTGAAAAAAATAAACTATTTATGTTTCTTATTAAAGGCTAAATAAACCAAAATAGTGCTGTTAATTTTTGACTGTGTAACTTTAAAAATGGCACCTTATACTGTTGTACTTAGTTTAAATGACCTCAGTTTTATGTAATTTGTCCATCCCTTCTTTTTTTCCACATTTTTGTTGGCTCACCTGGAACCATAGTTTCCACTCTATAATCCTTTCAAAATAAACTATATCAGCAGTTTGCTGTGAGTTGTTTCATCTTTTTTATTTTGTATGCTTTTAAGAAGGGGTGGGAAGTAGGTGTTGTGTTGGAAAAAAGGAATGTTGATTGGAAAAGACAACAAGTTGGCTTATCACCACCAGGTGCCAGTTTTTTTTTGTTTTTTTTTTATTGTGATTGTTGCATTAATTTTTCTAATTCTACCATTTTTACTTCACTGTTTTGTTTATTTAAAATAACTACTCATTCCTATTGTGAAGAAATAAATTTAAACCTGATTGGAATTGACGAGCTAACGACTAGTCTGAGTGCAAACAAGCCTGGTGCTTACATTTGTTTACGAAGATACACGTTCTTTGCTAGCACAAATCTCGGCGACAGCAGCTAGCTGTAGCACCTTTAGTGCAGCCAGTGGTCGCTCCATCATTATCATAACATGATGTTTTACACCGGTGCTCAGAGTGTCAAAATCAGAAAGACCAAGAAGGCTATTGTGAAGACTTTTATTATGAAAGGGGACAGTTATACAATTTATGAATGAATGAGCTCTTAATGTGAAGGTTTTTTTTAGACTGGTTTAAGATGGCAGTAATCCACTTTGGCCGCTCAGTCTGTTAGCTCATCAGTTTGTTCAGAATCAAACTCGTTTTCTCAAATCAGGACATACAAAGAGCTATCTACAACAGGTAAGATGAATTGTTCACAACATATCCCCCAGAACTTTACTTCAAAATATCTGAACTAGCCCTTTAAGTTATTCTGAGGCTTTAAAGACTATCGGACACAGAAAACGCTCTCTTTCCTATTATTTTTTTTTTTAGGTCTTTGACTTCTTCATTTTCGTATTAACCTACCAGAGAATTGCCTTAAACGTTCTAAATGTAACAACTTTAACTTTTTGTTTTCGTACAAAGACACATTTTAGTATTGAAGTAAACATAGAAGGAACTTTGTTGTGTTCATTTGTAACACAAAGCCTGTTTAGTGTGTTTATGAACTCTGTCGTGGTCTTGTTTTTTACAGATCGTGAGTCTCCTGTCCGTCGGGCTGCTGTTAGTGGACAGCTACTTGCTCTTCAAGAACATCACATTCAACAAACCAAGAGATGAAACGCAAAACAAAATGCAAAACGAAATAAAAAATTAAAAATGGTCATCCCGAACCTTCTCAAATGGTGCAGTTTGACAGTTTACTCCAGTAGTTTTACAAAAACATTCATAATCAATTCTGAAATGAGGGTACGCACTCAACGTAAACAAAGCTGAACCTGCAGAAAACCGCGTGGAAGCTCGAGTACACGTCCATCGATATTTCTGCATTAAACTGCGATATAAATTAGCCGGAATCAGCTCAGTCGTTAAGTTTCATTTTTTGTCTTTAGGCGAGCAAAAGAAGTAAAAACAGTTCATAAAAGTTGTGCAGTTAAGAAGGGGTTATTGTATGAATGAGTGCATGACTGATTTGCTTTTAACTAAAGTTTACCTTTCTTTTTTGTTAAATAAAATATTGTCACACTCCGGATGGCACGGTGGCTCAGAGGGTGGAACTGTTGCCTCTTAGCGAGAAGGTCGCAGGACAAATCTTGGCCGGGCCCCCACCCACTCACCTCACACAGTGACTGCATTGACCCAGAGTTATAGGCCTACGTAACGCAGACGTACACACAAAAACGCTAAAGATGCTACACACACACACAAGGCGCATGGCGTTTATCAATGATGAGCCGATGCGCTGCTGTCACTGACAATGAAAGTCCCAAGTGAGCACAAATCAAAACTGCAAAGTTACACATTGCTGTTCAGCTAGCTGCTGCTGCGTCGACCAATCACGTCTTGTCACGTGAACACACAGTCAGCCAATAGCGTGCCTAAAGGACTCTTCAAGACACGCCCACAACAGACAAGAACAAATGTGATTTTTGTTCATTCAATTCAGTTTATTTATATAGCAGCAAATCACAACACATTTGTCTCATGGCACTTTACAGGAACATTCACATACATAGAAAGCAAATTAGTGAAGTTCTCTATCTAAAGAAGCAGCAGACTTGTTGAACCTTCACTTCGTTGCAGTCTCCCATCCCATTAGTGGACAAAGTTAGCAGAACCCAATTTAGCGGAAGGCAGTTAGTCCACTAACGGTTTCCAAGAATAGCAAAAAAACGTGAATCTGCTAAACAACAAAAACTTAGCTTTGCTACTTACGATAAGTGGTTTAGCGGATGAGCGGGAACCATGCCCACCACTGCTAAAAACATGGGCAAATGTTGTCATTAATTTTAGACTTTCTTCACTTTACCACTTTACAGACATCAAAAACTTAAATGCAGCAACAATTTTTTTTTCTCACATATTGTTGTTGTTCCACGACAGATCAAGTCCATCTTCAAAAAGACAATCTGAGTTGCAGACAGACAACATTTTCACGCTTCTTATCGTAATATCTTCAGTAAGTTTAAGATTTTAGACTTTGAAAATTGCCAAATGTTTTGTGATCCAAGCTTTTTTTTTTTTCTTTTTTTTTTAGGGTTTTGATTGGACTCGTCCCTCCACTGTCACATTGTTTTATTCGTAGGTACTGTACAAAACCAGAATACACACCAGATCTGAAACATCCATCAACTTTCATCCCCTTCTTCCTTTCCGGTTCAGGGGTTAGGATTGGCCCAATTGCTACAAATGAACCCACCGACCTTCAAAACAAACCAACAGGATCAAATTAACATCAACTGGTTTGTGTCAGTCACACCAGTCTTCAACTGGAAGGAGATGAACATTCATGACGCAGACTGAGTCATAGTCGCCTTGTTAGCATTAGCTACCATTAATTTTTTTATACCTGTTTAGCGTTGGTGAAGCAAATTTTTCTGTTAGCGCAATATGAGTTAGCCAAGCTAAATTTCTGGTTAGCTGCGCTCACCACTGGTTAGAAGTCTTGTTTAAAAACACACTTTTATTCCCTGACTTTTGACCCAGTGTGAGATGGTTTTAACCCACTTGTGTTTTTATTGATCTAGTCGTTCTGTCCATCCATCCATTATCTTCTGCTTGTTCTGAAGTCGGGTCGTGGGGGCAGCACCTTGAGCAGGGAGGACTAGACAACTCTTTCCACAGTCACCTCTTCCTGCTCTTCTGGGAGGATCCCAAGACGTTCCCAGGCCAACTGAGAGACATAGTCTCTCCAGCGTGTCCTGGGTCTTACCTGGGGTCTCCTTCCAGTCGGACATGCCCGAAGCACCTCCCTAGGGGGGGATCCTTACCAGATGCCCGAACCACCTCAACTGGCTCCTCTTGATGACCTCTTGTTCTACTCCGAGTCTTTCCCAGACAGTCAAACTTCTCATCCTATTTCTAAGGGAGAATTCAGATACCCTGTGGAAGAAACTCATTTCAACCACCTCTATCCACAATTTCATCGTTTCGGTCACTACCCAGAGTTTGTGACCATAGGTGAAGGTAGGAACATAGACTGACCGGTAAACAGAGAGCTTTGCCTTACAGCTCAGCTCCTCCTTCACCACAACGGACCGGCACAGAGTCAGCAATACTGTAGACGCTGCACAATCCGTCTGTCAATCTCACGCTCCATTCTTCCCTCACCCCGAGATACTTGAACGCCTCCACTTGAGCCAGAACCTCACCCTCATCCTGAAGAGAGCAATCCACCTTTTTCCAGTTGAGGTCCATGGTCTCAGATTTGGAGGTGCTGATTCTCATCCCAGCCACTTCACACTCGGCTGCGAATCGCTCCTGTGAGAGCTTAAGATCACAGCACAATGACGCCAATAGGACCACATCATCTGCAAAGAGCAGAGACAGAATCCTGAGCCCCGCGAACCAGAATCCCTCTGCCCACTGGCTGCATTGAGAAATTCTGTCCATAAAAGTTATGAACAGAATCGGTGACAACGGGCAGCCCCGGCGGAGTCCAACTCCCCCTTGAAGGGTCTGACTTACTACCGGCAATGTGAACCAAACTCTCACACCGCTTGTATAGGGACCGAACAGCTCGTAGCAACGGGCCCCCAATCCTATACTCACGGAGCACCCCCCACAGTGTACCCCGAGGAACAAGGTTGAATGCCTTCACCAAGTCCACATAACACATGTAGACTGGTTGGTCAAACTCCCATGATCCCTTCAGGACCCTAGTGAGGGTAAAGAGCTGATCCAGTGTTCCACGACCAGGACAGAACCCGCATTGTTCCTCCTGGATCTGAGGTTCGACCAACGATCGGACTCGCTTGTCCAGACCAGGGAAGTTAAGGAGAGTAATGTCCCAATAAATGGAGCACACCCTCCGGTCGCCCTTTTTGACGAGGGGAACCACCACCCCAGTCGTTCTAAATGCTTCTTATGTATCATATCCTCTGTCGTCTGCTTGTTTGTTTTATTGTACCAGGCTTAGATTGGCCTTGTTGCTGTTTTTAAGGGTTTCATAAATTAAGTGTGTGTGTGTGTGTGGGGGGGGGGGGGGGAGTTGGATGCTGTTACAGTTATTGATGTTTTAATAGCTAACAGCTAGTTCTGGATGTCAACAACAAACTGGTTGATCCACCATGAGAAGGTGTTATTTATAAGACTGAGTTTGTTGCAGCTCCTCAGACTGAAGAAGTCTTTTGGATAAAAGATGAAAGATGAAAAGATAATATGTTGCCTAAATTAAGATCTGAGTCAGATTTTTCTTGCCACCAGGATGGGATGTTTTTTTTTTTTACCCCTGATATTTCTGGGTCTCGTGCATGCAGCTGTGGGCATCGCATTTCACATCTGGAGAAAGCAGATGTGAAGCTCACGCTGTTTCCGCGCTGTCATTGTTTCCGTTTCCACCTCCTGAAAGCCTCACGCCTCCACTCAGTCTCTCTGCGGGTTTTTTTTTTTTATTTTTTATTTTCCTCCTCGCTTTGCTCTGAATCCGCTACTTTACGCGTCGCCTGCCGGAGTGTGAAGACAGAGGGAACTTTTCGGGGCCAGATGGGGGACACCGAGGCTCCCGACTCGAACGGGCCGCGCCGGTCCGTCCTGCTGTCCGTCCTGCCGAGCAGAGAGTTCATCTCCTCCAAGAAAGGAATGCTGCTTCTGGCTGAAGTGGTAAGAAACGCGCAGAGGACTCCAATCGTGCGGGATAATGTTGCACAACTTTTACGCACAAACGCCACAACAACCGGGCCGCGTTTATTTGCAGTTACAGCAGCAAAGGTGTTGATTTAATCCTCATTTATGTGTAACTTGGAACAGATTTTAATCTGTAAACTGAATGCAAACAAATTCATATCCTGCTTTGGATAAACTTCTGAAAGTTAAAACAAAGTTGAGAAAGAGGATGTTGTAGCTTTTATTCTCCGTGGATTTGAACAAACCAGGAACTGATTATGGAGCAGGGAGGAGGAGGAGGAGGAGGAGGAAGAGGAGGAGGGGAGGGGGTCAGCAGCATCATGAGTTTTTGCAGAAAGAGGTCTTTGGCAAAGACTGGATGAACCCTGACGACACTTTAGTCATGTGACACTCCGCTCTGGTTTTGTCAGAGACATCCGCCACATCCTCCACTCTGTGTGAGGAGCCAGAAACACTTTACAGCTTCTTCACGGTGTCTCTGAAGTCACTGTGGAACTTAAAACCATCTAAAACCATGCACATCTGTAAATCAGGACGATTCTCTTTGCATGGGTAGCATCGATTGTGCACATCTGGCCTTGTTAACACCATCAGGGCCATGTTAATAAAATCAGTTAATGACGACCCCAACATGCAGGTCTTTGGTCTGTGGGAGGAGAAAACCTCCAGAAGCATGGGGAGAGCATGTAAACTTCACACAGAGAAGCTTCAGGCTGGGAGGTGAACCTGAGGCCTTCTTGCTGTGAGGCACCAGCTCTACCCACTGCTTCACTGTGTCGCTTTGTTTTATCTCTGTTTTTATTTTACCTTTATTTATGCAGGTAGTCTCATTGAGTCACTCATTTTCCAGAGACCTGTTTTAAACGGACAAAATCATATCAAACACTAAAAGCAATTAAAACCACACAATAAAATCAAAAAATCAAAGTGCCTTATAAAACAAGATAAAATATTATTTACATAAATTATTTTTTTTAAAAGATGTCCTGAAACTGAGCCTTGTGGCACACCATTAATGACCATTAAATAGGTAGAAGAGACACCATCGCGTTGTGCAGTTCCCTCTGACTTGAGAGCTGCATGGGAAAGAGAACATAAATATATTAAACATACTAAATACACAAAATTGAGATTCATTCTGTTAGAAACAATGGTGGCTATTAGTTGTTTTCTATTCCGATCCCTGTGCTGTAGGGATGTTGTAGGGGCGGCTGTGGATAAATGATTAGAGCAGATGTTCAACGCCTCCGATGTGTGTCCCATCGGTGTATGAATGTGATAAAGCATTGACTAATGTAGTCTGTGTAAAGATGGACTGTATGAAGTGTAGGTACAGTAAATGAGGGCACAGATTGGGTTGTAAAGAGCTTTGAGTATCTTAATTAGACAGAAAGGTGCTATATAATTAACTTATATTTTTAAGATTTTAGGGACTTTTTGTGTGAATATTTTGATCTGTTGCTGCTGTTACACTTGAATTTCCCATCCGTGGGACAATAAAGGCTGTTTCTATTCTATTCTATTCTATTCTGTTCTATTCTGTTCTGTTCTGTTCTGTTCTATCATACTCTATATAAATACGTTCCATTTAGCATTTGTATTGGAAACAGTGCTCTATTTAAATAGACACATTAGTCAAAGTGGGAGGGAGGAGGTGGGACAGTGAGGCTACAAGGAGCAGAGGTCTTGGGGTCCACTGTCCAGGAAAGTGGGGAGTGTGGTAAAGAAGTGAAGATGAGAGTCCAGGCAGGATGGAGTAGATGGAGGAAAGTTTCAGGAGTAATTTGTGACAAAAGGGTGTCAGCAAAGGTCAAAGGAAAAGTTTACAAGACCGTGATGAGACCAACTATGTTGTATGCTCTGGAGACAGAGACATGGTCAAAAAGACAGGAGACAGAAATGGACGTGGCAGAAATGAATATGTTGGGGTTCTCCTTAGGAGTGACAAGGACGGAGAAGATCAGGAATGAGATCATCAGAGGTGCAGCACAGGTTGAACAACAGTTAGGGAGGACACATTGAGATGGTTTGGACATGTCCAGAGGAGAGATGGAGCATGCACGTCTCTCTGTGGAGACCTCTGAAGAAAAGAAAAAAACAGCAGAAAGTAGAAAAAGTCAAACATCTCCAGACTTTTAGTGTCGGACTGAACGACCTTGAGATTTCCTCTCAGCACGCCCACGAGAGAGATACAAAGACTCCAGAAAGAAGAACATTTTTACTTCTGCCTCATTGAAACTGTGAGTTATTATCAGCCTTGCAGTAAAAGCTCTGTGGTAAACATCTTATAAAAAGTCTACCGCTGCAGTTCTGCTAAACTTGTAGCAACAGCAATAAAACGAGTCCACAGTCATTTCACTCTGAATGTGCCTCGTCTGCAAGTTAAAGGAAGATGGCTGCTGTGTTTATTTGAACATGATGTAGAAGTTTCAGCTGTTCAGGTTTGATGGAGGGGCTGTTGTTTTGGACGTCCATGTCATTTCAGAGAGAAACTCTGGCATCGGTTCATGTTTCACCTCTCCGACCGTGCTGAGGAGCTTTCCTCGTTGGTTCAAACTGTCGCAGTTTAATCATCTTGTTGTCACTGAAAGCTCACAGGCGGCTCTTTATCAGCCCACGCTGAATGTTTTACGTGACTCCAAAGACCACAGCTCTGCCATCAGCCTCATACTGTAGCTTGAAAGTGTTTCACACACAGGAACGTGTGACATAAACACAAGGGTTGTTCAAATTCTCTGTCAGGATTGTAATTGTCTCAAAGTTTTCAAAAATAAAGGCCTTCATATAGATTTACAGCTCTTAATTTAACAATCCAATCCAAAACAAGTTGTGTCTCAGTCTTAATGTTCATTATTTGACTGGTAGAGGAACAGATTAGACAAATAAACTAATGAAAATGAACAAAAAACAGCAAAATAATAATAATAAAAAATGAATCTGCATCTAAAATAGCTTCAGTGTAAATGTTAGTACAGGCAGGGCCTCTTCTGGTTAAAATGAACATTTTCTTCATAAAACCCCTTTTTTAATGCACATCGATTCATCCTGTTTTTCTATTTAGTCAAAAAAATAAACTGTATGCAGATCTGATTTCAGTGTTGTTTTTCCAGGAACGCAACTTTTCTGGAAAAAAATAATTACGCTGATTTATGCAGAATCAATAAAATGATGAAAAAAATTGAGATACGAGGTTTTTACCCAACAGTTACATGCAAATGTGAGAATATATATTTCTTTGTCACGTGATGGGCTTTATTTCTACTTTTTAGTGCATTTTTTATTTTGACGTGACAATTGCCAAGTCTTTGCGTGAGTTCACTCGCTGTGGGGTCCCCTGAAGACGGGAGCAGTCGAATGAAAACTAAGTTTATTATTTGATTAATGTGACAAGCGATGAAAATGATTTTAAGATAATAGCAACTCTTGAAACATCCACTTACCGAAAAGAGAAAACGTAAAGATTTAATCAAGAGAAACATTCATCTGTTCGTTTTCCTTCAAAATGTATTTTCCAGCTCTGTGGGAGGATTCTGCAGCTTTGTTCAGTCAGTGTTTGAACCCTCAGGCCCGAGCAGGATAACAGTCCGCAGCTGCTTGAGATCACGGCGTCTGGACTTGCGTGTATTTGTCCTGAGACGGTGTCCTGTCCTGTCTGACTCCTTTAGTGGGAAGCTTCAAAGATGAGACAGGCTGCATGCGTAGCGATCAACAGCTCATAAAGCCTCTTTAATTATCTCAGTTTGACGCTGCTGCCTGTTTGCACAAGTGACTTTGTGTGTGTGAGATAAAAAAGAAGGACTTTGTGAATAAATGTTGACCTTAGCAGCTGTGTCTCTCTTATGAGGTGCCGTTTGTAAAGTTACATAATCAAAAATTAACAGCAATATTTTGGTTTCATAAGGAAAAAAAAAAAGTAGTTTTTTTGTTGTTGTGTTGTTTGGTGGTTGTGACCGAAAGAATGAGATCTCGGATACAAGCGGCCGAAATGAGTTTTCTCCGCAGGGTGTCTGGGCTCTCCCTTAGAGACAGGGTGAGAAGCTCGATCATCCGGGAGGGACTCGGAGTAGAGCCGCTGCTTCTCCACGTCGAGAGGAGCCAGTTGAGGTGGCTTGGGCATCTGGTTAGGATGCCTCCTGGACGCCTCTCTGGTGAGGTGTTCCGGACACGTCCCACCGGAAGGAGGCCCAGAGGAAGACCCAGGACACGCTGGAGGGACTATGTTTCTCGGCTGGCCTGGGAACGCCTCAGGATTCCCCCGGAAGAGCTGGCCCAAGTGGCTGGGGAGAGGGAAGTCTGGGCCTCCCTACTTAGGCTGCTACCCCCGCGACCCGACCCCGGATAAGCGGAAGAAAATGGATGGATGGATATTGAATTTAAAAGCTAATTATTTAATTTCTAAACTACATATTTAATTTGCTAACTAAATATTTAGCTCAGACCTAAACATTTATTTTCCAAACTAAAATATTTAATTTACAAAAAAAATATTTAATTTGATAACTAAAAATGTAGCTCAGACCCAAATATTAATTTTTCAAATTAAACATTTAATTGACAAAATAAATATTTAATTTGCTAACTAAATATATAGCTCGGACCTAAATGTTTAATTTCTAAGCTAAACATTTAATTTCTAAACTAAATATTTAATTTGCTAACTAAATATTTAGCTCAGACCTAAATATTTATTTTCCAAACTAAACATTCAATTTACAAAATAAATATTTAATTTGCTAACTAAAAATTTTGCTTGGACCCAAATATTAATTTTCTAAACTAAACATTTAATTTCCAAAATAAATATTTATTTAGCTCGGACCTAAATATTTAACTTGCTATAGCTAAATATTTAGCTTGCTAGCTAAATATTTAACTTGTAAGTTAAACCCATGTGACATAACATTCGGTGCGGATGGGTTTGGCTTTTATTTTGATAGTCCACTTATGCTTTTTGGCACGGAAATTGCATATTAACTAAATATTTAGCTTGAACCTAAACATTCAACTTGCAAGTTAAATATTTAGGTCCTAGCTAAATATTTAGTTAGCAAATTAAATATTTTGTTTGGGAATTAAATGTTTAAATTAGAAATTAAATGTTTTGTTTGGAAAATAAATATTTAGCTTGGACAATAAATATTTAGTTTGAAAATTAAATGTTTAGTTTTGAAAATAAATATTTAGCTTGGTAATTAAATATTAAATTTACACCTAAATATTTAGTTTATTAACTAAACATTTAACTTGAAAGTTAAGTATTTAGTTTGTAAACTAAATATTTAGCTTGTAAATTAAATATTTAGTTTGGAACTATGACATTTATAAATGTATGAATAACATGGTGAACATCTGACTTTGAAATAAAACATTTTTTTCTTATGAAAGGCTAAATAAACCAAAATATTGCTGTTAATTTTGGACGGCATTTACAAACAGCATCCCATACTCTCTACAGGGATGTTGCAAGAATTACAAGACTTAACTTGGTCTCTGATTTCATCAAATTAAAGTCAAGCTCCCGTCTGAAACGTTTCACTCTTTTATTGTCTCCTCAGGCTCTTTGCTTCATATCCTTTGTGTGTTTTGCTGCGTCAGCAGCGGCAGCCTTCGTCACCGTCCCCCTGCTGGAGTTCCTGGCTGCCGTCTTCCTGCTGTTTGCTTATTCTACAAAATTCAACAAGAGGTTCAAAGGTTTCTGTTGGCCTCTGACGGTGGGAGTATATGACATCTATTGCAACTTTCTGCCACTTTATATAAAAAGACAAAGGCTAAATAATCCGTCTGTGTCTCTGTGTCTTCTTTCAAAGGATTTCCTGAGATGTGTGACGGCCTCCATTATTTTTTTCATCATCTCCATTATGGCGGTGTCTAAGTACGCAGATGGTTCCTCTAAAGCTGCCGGGGTGAGGCTGATTTTAGCATCAGCATGCGTGTTGCTCATGCCTCTGCCACACGTATGACTTAAATGACTACACAGTCGCTGAGAATACATTTCAGTCAATGTCAGTGATTTTAAGCGATAGCTGATAAAGTCAAAGTTCTGTTTGTGGGCTTTTCAACGTTCAGGAGCAGCCCAACCACCTCCTAGGTCCAAATGAAGGTTCCTGCGTTCACCTTTTTGGATATAAATAAATTTCTCACGCTGGTCTCCCGTTGGGGCCCGTGTACTGTAAACATTTTATTTTTTCTTGTTTATTCGCCACAACAAACATTGAAAAATCATACATTTTCCAGAGCCCGTTCTCGCGTGAACTGATTTCAGCCGTTAGAAAACGCTTCGAATGTTGTTCGATGTTTCTCCACTTGGAAAGTTTTGAACATGAGCAAAACATTCGAGCCCGTCACAACAACAGGCCTAAATGTTTGGAATGAAGTCGGAGTTTTCGAGTGCACTTTGGATGTCCAGGAATGTTCATTAAAGTGTCGTTCCAACAGCCTTCCGGCTCCTTCCACCTCTGGTGCGACTCTGTGGTTTCTGTCGTAGTTCGTCCCACTTTATTCACATCACTTGTCCTTTTTTCCACAGGTTTTTGGGTTTATCGCCACCATTGTTTTCGCTTTAGACTTTTATCTGATTTTTAATGAGCTGGCCGGTTTCCTGAAACAAGGAGGGGAGTCCAACGAGGAGCCTTCAGCACCGAGAGGTAACCAGTCAAATCCATTTATGAAATAACTATTTACTGATAATTAATCCAGTATGTGAGTTTTTAATGTACATCAACACGTTGGAAAACTTTTATTAATTACAAATAATAATAATAATTCAGATTGTGTTGTGGTGTAGAATATATTTATGTACAGTTTCAGAAGGTTTAGCTCAATTTGGTTATGACTATAATTTGATGAAATATTTAATACACAGTAAAAACTAACAAAATACACAAAGCAAAAAATGAAATCTAAAAGTAAAAGCAGAAGCAGAAAACAAGCACAACTGTGTTATAGAAATACAGTAATTTTCAATATTTAAAATAAAGGTTTTCTTTTTTTTATCATATTTTTATATACAATAATAAAATGATAAATATGTAATAAATATAAACAATGGCTCAAACATAAATTGGCATGAAATTAAAGAACATCTGTTATTTCAATAAAAATAAACAAATTGTGCTTTTTTTACATTTAAAAATCAAAACATTTTACACAAAGAATTTACGTTTACAATCAATTCCTGTCATTTTGTTTCTCGTATTTCAAAATAAAAGAAAAAAATCTAAACTAAAACTGAGAAAGTCAGTTTTTAGGATTTTTGTGGAATCAGTAGTTTTGTCCTTTTTAAAGATTTATTTATCACCTTTAAAAATTCCAATGTCGTCTATACAAACAAACATTAGAGCCTTTTAATTTATAAATTCTGCATCTGATGTGAAGAAGAGCTTTCTGTAATTTAAAAAAAAATCTAATTAGGGAAATTTCTTGTGTTTTTTAATTTTCTTAGTATCTTCAGTGAAACAAACACTATAAATAGAATCATTTCCTGCTTTCTACCACTTTGCAAAACATTTTATGAGGTTATTTTTGAAGTTTCATTTATCGCTCATGCATGTCCGACTAGCCAAGACGAGCTTTATTCAAATGGTGCTAAACTTTCTGATGATTGAAAGTTTGTGAACTCTTTATAATTTTCTATATTTCTGCATCAATATGACCTAAAGCATCAATAGATTTTCACACAAGTCTTAAAAGTAGATAAAGAGAACCCAGATAAACAAACAAGACAAAAATATCATACTTGCTCATGTATTTATTGAGGAGAATGATCCAACATATTTATGAGTGGTAAAAGTATGTGAACCTCTAGGATTAGCGGTTAATTTGAAGGTGAAATTAGAGTCAGGTGTTTTCAATCAATGGGATGATGATCAGGTGTGAGTGGGCACCGTTTGATACAAAGCAAAGGTTCACATACTTTTGCCACTCAAATATATAATATTGGATCATTTTCCTCAATAAATAAATGACCAAGTATAATATTTTTGTCTCATTTGGTGAACTTTATCTACGTTTAGGACTTGTATAAAAATCTGATGATGTTTTAGGTCAGATTTATCAGAAATATGAAAAATTCTAAAAGGTTTACAAACTTTCCAGCACCACTGCATCAGTTATTTGGTGTTTTTCCGATGAATTTCTGTCACTTTTGCAAGAAAGCACGTCCTGCAACTCAACAATGTTTTGTAACTTCTGCCTCCAGACGAGTTTTCAGACTCGGACTCGGATTGAAACTCACCGACGGGTGGATTTCATCTGAACTTTTAATGGAGAAGTGAGCACTGCTGAGCCGCCATCCGCACCTGCACCTGTTCCCTTTAAAGAGTGAAGGACAAAACCCACGACGGCGCCACGTCAGCTGTGGGTCGGTCGTTGACTCTGGAAATCTGCACGAGTTTGTTCTGACGTCGTTTCTAGCGACACTTTAATTTAATCATGTTTCTGGTTTTTAAACACTGCATGATATTTTTTTTAGTTTATTTTTTCCATATAGTGATCACTTTATGAAACATCTGGCGTGATAAATGTCATTTTATCCTATTTAATTTTTGGATTATTTCAAAAGCTGTGAATGTCTGTCATTTCAATGCTGCAAAATTAAAATGAGGAAACATGTCGCTGTAGGAAGGAAACCTGAAAAACCTTTTAGGAAATAAACACATGTATTAAATGTCTTTCTTTTATATCAATTAATTCATTTGTCACAGTTCACTAAATTCTTTTGAACACTTTTAATTGGATATTCATGCATAAATCAACAAATAAATATGGAGTTTAATGCAAAATATATATATTTTAATGGTGAAATATGGAGTTTTTGCCTGACAGTGACATTAAGTGAACATATTACTACAATCAGTGTCGTGCAAAAGTCTTAAACATGACCCTCATTTCTTTTTATTTGGCTCAAAATAAGACAAACCTTTTATGTAAACTTTTGAAGTGGTCCTAAACGGGATTTCCTCAAGCTTTTACTTTGGACATTGACTGCCATTTTTGCACAGTTCTTCCACCTGATCATTTTTTAAAAACAATTAAAGCATAAAAAACACAAAAAAATAAAAAAGCAGTGATGTGTTTTGAAACCAAACATTCAGACATTTTGTTGCATGGAGCCTGCACCAAAGACAATTTTTGTCTTATTTCTTTGCGCACGTATAAAAATAAATCTATTGAAATAAACTTTTTTTCTTGTCTGATCATGACAGAAAAAATTAGTGCATGAATTTTGCAAAAACATGAAATTCATGTTTATTTTTTCTGCAAGAATAATGTAAGATAAATAATGGACGATTTCAGTTTGATGTGCATAAAAAAAAAACATTTTAAACACCTTTAAAACCATTACAAGCAGTTTTTTGAATAAAAATTCAAAGAAAAATGGGTGGTTGAAGACTTTTGCACATAATCTAAACGTAATCAGACCAAATAGGCCTATATATTCATATATATATATATATATATATTCATATATATATATATATATATAT